GGGTCCTAGAACGAATAGTTGCAATCTGTATTGTCTCGACACTTGTCTGACGTGACATCGATCGAGTGAGAGAGATTGTATCTTGACTGGAGTGTGCTACCTCACTGACAGAGCGTAGGGAAGGTCGTGAAAACGAGTTTGCATTCATAGTATTTGCGTTTTCACGCCTATGTCTGCGTCAAAACGCAGGAATGAATGCGCCCACTATATTCTCACTCAAAATAACGCAGTCTCGAACGACCTCTAACAAAAAAAAACGAAAAGAGCGTTTTTCATGTTTTCGCTAATTGATACTGCACCTTGAGAAGACTCACTGCAAAGATATCCGCAGGTATATCGTTCTACCCATTCAGAAGAAATCTAGCCACGTTCTTTTCCTCGATCTGTTCTATGATGGAGTGGTCGACGGGCTAAGGATTTTGTCGAGCACGTGAAAGCTAAGAGGAACGGTCCCTTCACACAATGAGAGGGGAGTGTTTCATTGTCGGACAGAGGAACTAGGGACTTGTGAAAGGGCGACTGACCTACACTGGTAGGAATCATGAAGAGGCATAGCGCTGAAAGAGGCGTGACCCTTTAGGAAAAATTGGGAGTTGGGAATCAAGAACGGGGATCCGATTTCATGCATACTTTTCTTGTTTGCTCAGCTGTCTGTTTTAACAACATTAAACAATATTGATAAAGATGACGCATCAACAATGTGCTGCAATATTCCCGCAGCCCTTTGATCTGTATTGTAAAACTTTTTCATTCATGCAGCTTGGGCTGAAGACCCAAATAATCAACAAGTGCTTGAAATCCTCTCCGATTCAATCTTTAACTGTGGTGTGATCATGACCGTGGGTGAAGCGTAGTGTTGTCTACAATTTCATCCCTTTTGGGAGCAAACATAGACTTATTTATTATTATTTATTTATTATTTGGGCAGACTGGAGCTGAATAAGTCTTACCATTAGGTCTCTTTATTGCCGCTTGGATTTTGGGTGAAGTTTCAAAGGAGCTTATTGCTCTTTTTTCTGTCGAACAAAAGTTGCATTAAGATTTCCCTACTAATCTAATGTAAGTCCAGTCTTCGACCACTTTCTCGTGTTGCCCTGGCACAAGTTTCATGAATTTGGTAAACTAAATGTTGATGTGGGCGGAGTTGATGTAGTGGCAAGTGGTGCACTATCACACACGCATGGTCACAGGTTCGAATCACAGATCGGCATCCGCCTAGGCCTACCAAGCCTTCCATTCCTCCGGAATCGATAGTTGGTACCAGACTTGTCTGGGAGGATAGAAGCACTGTCT